TTATGAACTATTACTACAAGATTCCCAACATGGACATTAGTAATGGTTTGAAGCCTATTCAGAGTGATGCTAATGTACAAAAGATGTGCAACTTTGTTCCAAAGGCTCGAGTGTTAGACATGTACATTGAAGAATTGTCTACAGAAGAAGCCCTTACCAAGGAACAATAATTTATGGAGTCTATGAAGTGCACCAGTCCAAGCACAGTGATTATTGAGGAATTAAGTGAGGATGAAGGGGATGTTATGGCAATAACTTGTAAACTAAGAAAAAAAAAAAAGGGTTGCTAGCTATTGAAGGACCTTCAAATAATAAGGGAATGTCTATTGAAGAAGAGGTGACTATAATGTGCTTGGATGAAGGTTTTCACCAAGAAGAGGTGGCTGGTACAAGTGTGGTTGAGGAAGAAGATGTACAAGTTGCTCGAGAAGGAGGTTTACAAGATGTACAAGTTGATGAACAAGGTGTACAAGTTGCTGAAGAAGGTGAAGAGGAACACGGTGATACCTTCTTTGATGTACCAGTCAATTTTGAAGGAGACCAAGAAGAAAGTGAAGAAGAAGATCCTGACGAAGACAGTGACTTTGTAGAGAGTGACTATGAGAGTGATGAAGATAACCCAAATTTTGCTAAGTATGATGTGATTCAGGAACCATATTATAATTCTGATGATCTGTAAAGTGTACACTTTGAAGATGAGGAAGGAGGCAAAAAAAAAAAAAAAAAAAAAAGAGTATTATCCAGAGTTTAATAAGAAAACGGATATGAAAAATCCACAGCTTACTCTAAGGCTTATTTTCAGAGACAGTATGCAATTCAAGAGAGTCGTCATGATGTATTCCTTAGTGAATGGACATGGGAAAATTCATTTCCACAAGAAAAAGAAGTTGAAGATTACTGCCAAGTGTGCAAAGGACTGTCATTGGATGTGTGCTACTGGTAAGATGCATGGATCAAGCAGCATCTAAATCAAGACAGTCCTTGATCACCACACCTGTGGGATGACTTGGGCAAATAAAAACATGACTGCTTCTTTACTCACAGATTTGTACTTGGATCGGATAAAGCTCAATCCCACATCGCATGTCGAATCTTTTTTATCCACTGTGGAATCCGAGTGGAATCATGGGTGTACAAAGATGAAGGCTTATAGGGCATTGAATAAAGCTTTCAAGATTATTGAAGGGAAACCTGTAGAGCAATATAAAAAACTGTGGGATTTTGCTGAGAAAGTAAGAAAGACTAACCCTGCAAGCACTGTGAAGTTGAATTTAGATGGGGAAAGGTTTTCAAAGGATATATGTTTGATTGGGGGCATGTAAAGAAGGCTTTAAGGTAGGATATAGACCTTTGATAGGTTTAAATGGGTGCCACTTAAAGGTTTTACATGGAGGGCAGTTGCTATGTGTTGTTGGCATTAATCCAAATGATGAGACATGGCTTATTGCTTATGCAGTGGTGGAAATGGAAAATAAGGCAGCTTGGGTTTGGTTCTTACAACTGTTAGCTGATGATGTGGGTATAGAAAACCAAAATGGATGGACATTTATAAGTGATAAGCAAAAGGGGCTAATTCCAGCATTTAAAAAAGTCATCCCCATATGCCACACAGATTCTGTGTGAGGCATTTGTACACAAACTATAGGAATTTGTTCAAGGGGAAAAGTTTGAAATATGCTTTATGAGCAGTTGCCAAAAAAAAAAAAAAAACAACGGTTCCACACTTCAAAAAGGCAATGGAAGAGGTTAAAAAGCTAGATGAGAAGACTTACAATTGGCTAGTGAAGAAGCATGTGACTCAATAGAGCAAGTCCCACTTTGAAACCTATCCAAAGTGTGACATGTTGCTCAATAATTTGTGTGAATCATTCAATGCAGTCATACTAGTGCCAAGGCAAAAACCTATTATAACTATGCTGCAAATGATTCAAACTATGTTGATGAAGAGAATTCAAATGAGGTGAGGTATAATGATGAAGCAAGTAGGAGATCTCTACCCTAAGATTAGGAAGAAGTTGGAGGAAGCCAAACTCTTAAGTGGCAGGTGCATTGCACAATGGTCAGGAGGGACCAAATTTCAAGTGGATGCTGGAGGTGGGGAACAATTTTCAGTATCCTCCTATATGCTCTTGTAGGAAATATGACTTGACAAGAATACCTTGCAACCATGCAATATCTGCCATCCATTTCAAGAGAGAAAAACCTGAGGATTATGTGGATGCGTACTATTCAAAGGCATGGTACTTGGAAGTTTATTCTCACTTAATAATGCCAATGAATGGTATGTCATTGTGGGAGGATATTGAAAACCCTCCAATCTTCCCTCCATTATATACAAGGCAACTTGGAAGACCAAGGAACAAAAGAAACAAAGAAGCTGCTGATTTGGACAAAGATGGTGAACAAACTCCCACCAACCCACCAAATAATCCTGAAGGTCCTCCTAAGCCACTCAAGTTAGGAAGGAAATGGCAAGGTGCTTTGAAGTGTACTATATGCAAGCAAGAAGGACATAATTCACAAACCCATCATCGACATCTTCCTCCAAGGGACAAATAGGTAACATTTTGTACTTTCTTTAATCCTTAATCCTTTAATCCTTTAATGAATGATTTTATACTTTGTTATAGGCATCCACATTAGCCTAAGGGAGAGCATCATCATCAGCCGAAGCTGGAGCTAAAAGGAGAACAAGGAAATCTAAGGTACAAAACCTAATCCTCTCCTTTGTAGTTTACAACAGCAAGTTTAGTTTAGAACCTTGCTTTGCATCTGACCTTTTTGTAATGAACGTTGAAATTAGGCATCACAATCAAGGGATGGTTCATCTGCAAATCCTGAAACTCATTCACCGAGAGCCACCAAGCAAAGAAAAACAAGGCAAACCAAGACCTAAAGATGCCAGAAATTATAACAAATTACTGTTTTCACTTCATGTTTTATGTGCAGTAGGAACTAAAATTATGGTACATGGGTTATGGAATTAGACATCACAAACATTGAATTTCTTTTGGTTTTTTGAACTGATTTGTATCCCTGAAAATGCATTGTTTTGCACTATTTTGATAGATGGATTTCAATATGTTTTTTGGATCAGTGCACTGTGCATTTTGGGATATTTAAGGATGTCTAATGCATATCTTTGTAAATGTTAGATGGATCAATGATGCTATATGAATTACAGTTCATCTTTTGGTCTTTGCAAATGTTTTGTTTCAAGTGGACTTTGTGTTCATTTTTTGTTATATCATATGTTTATGTAGGATTTGTGTTGATGTGGGATCATATGTTTATGTACAATTTCCACTTGGTTTGGTTTTTTTAGGTTGTATTATCTTCCAAAATTGGACCCCCTTTAAAAAAAAATAAAAAAAAAAAAAATTTTTTTGCTGACGTGGATGCTTTTTGGTGGGAAATAATTATGTTGAAAAAAAAATTCTAGTTTTTTTTAAATGACGTGGAAATTAATTTGGCGGGAAATCTACGTGGCAGACATATGGAAGTTCATATGTGGAGATGGTGGGACGTGGCATACGCCACGTCATTATATGACGGACCAATTGACAGCCAATGTAACGGAGGTAGCACATTGAAACAAATTCGTAAGCAAAGGTATGACATTGAAACTTTTTAAAGATGATGTATGAAACTGTTAACGACCTAATAGTTGAGGTAGTTTTTTGTAATTTACCCTTTTTTTTTTTAACAAACAATATTATTTACATTAAAAGAGTGGGGGAGTAGGCTCACACTGGGCTTAACCATAATAATTGGTTCAAATTCGCCTTTGGTAAGAATCGAACCTAAAACATTTCACTTACAAGTGAAGAGGAATACAATTGGACTATAGAGGAATACAATTAAACCATAGTCCTAAGAAGCCATGGTGAATTTTATTTATGTTGTAAATAATATTAGAGAGAGAGGAGAGTGGGATAGCAGAGAGGAAGGTCATACCTTCACAGACCCGCTGAGGGATTTGTGAAGGCATACCTATCGAAACATAAGAGTTTTTCTCCAACCAAGAGACCAATCACAATGTGATAGTGACACGTGTCAATATTTGAATAAAAGCTCCTAGAACCTCATATCGACCAAAGATGAAAGTGTGCGACTCACCTCACCTATAAAAGAAGACCATTCTCCTATATCTAATGACATTATCAACCTTAACTCACCCACACCCCCCTTCTTTTTTTTTTAATGAAAAAAAAGGATATTATCTACTCTGAGGGGAAGGGGAATGAGTTGGGTTTAATTGCACAATGAGCTAGTAATAACAGGTTTCAAATTCGCCTTTGACGAGAATCGAACCAAAGACTTCTAACTTACAAAGGAATATCACTAGACTGTAATGATGATTATGCTTGAAGCTTTATACTATGTAAACTCTTCACTAGTAATGAGAACTCATCTACCTTGGTGGACGTAGCCCAACTTAGGATGAACCACTTACATCTTATTTTCGCTTCCTATCTCTATTTCTTCACATACTACACTCACTAGGTAACTGAAGCAACCTTGCGAATGTTACAACCTTAATAGTTTACATTGTTCCAAAGTCCAACTAGGTTTTTTTATTTTATTATCAACATTTAATGTTATATATTATTAAATTAAGACACGCCATGTAATATGCCTATGTGTTACGAATAAGGATCCTCTTTGGATTCTCTTTGTGAGGATTTCAAGGATCCTTTAATTGTGTTCATTTATCGTATATCGTGCAATCAGAAATTATTTTATTTTATTTTTTTAAATTGAAAACAATAATACTTGACAAAAACTAATTGTACGATTTACAATGAACAAATACAATTAAAGAATACTATATATCCTCACAGAAGATCCAGAAATAATTATCATTCACGTGTCACCGTCTTATACCATCATTTCCACTTCTTCAAAACGGTAACGCTACCTCTTGATCCAACGGCTCATGTTTTATCGCAAAACCCACACCCCCCTCCGCCTCTATATATAACTCACCTCCTCCCCCATTCACTCATTCTTTAAACTTCCTAAATAAAACTCTAGCCGGAAAAGGTAAAGATTCTGATCAATTCGCGACTTTAATCGCCGGAAAAAAATGTCGACGAGCTCGAGCAACACCTGGTTACTCACTCTTAAGGTTGCGCTGATCTCCACTGGCGTGGTCTCCATGGCCGTGGGGCTGAAACTCTCATCTCCATTGGTCGCCGACGCCGTCATCTCCCAAGTCCCTTCTCTCTGGAGCTCCGCCATCTCCTGGCTCAGACCACCGTATCTCTACATACTCATTAACTGCATCATCATCAGCATCGTCGCCTCCTCCAAGCTCCACCCCAAACCCGAAGATTCTCATCCGGAAACGGAGCCGGAGCTGGTGATGGTCCCTCCTCTGACGACGGAGAAGATCTCCACACAAATACAATCCGACTACGCGGCGTACGACGGCGTGATTCTAAGCGAGTACGGTTACGATGCGAATGTGCTGCCAAAGATTTCGGATTCGTATGGAGGAGGGACTGGAGGAGTAGTGCTGGAAGAGAAGGTTTGGGTCCCGGAGGCAGTGAAGAAGAAGGAGAAGAGAGAAGATAGGGCGGGGATTGACTGCGGCGATGAGAACGCCTTGGTATCGACGCCTGTAAAGACGAGTTTGCAGAGGAAGGGCTCTATGGAGTTCTGGTTGAACGAGAATCAGAAACCGCCGGTTTCCGCTCGTATCGGTCACAGAAAATCAGTTAAATCTAGCCCTGAAGGTACCACTCTCTCTCTCTCTCTCTCCCCCTCTCCCCCCCTTCTCCCCCTATGTACTACTTGTCGTACACGTTTTTGAATATTCGGATAGGAAGAAAGAACTGGACTGGCCGGACCGGACCACCTAACCTTTCGGCGGTCAAAGCGCCGCCCGATTTTTCTTTTTTTATTATCGGGTAAATTTCAAATTTATTTCGGAGTTGGAAAGGTCGAAATTGCCCTCGACTACTCGACTACTCGTGAAAAGGTTTTTCAGTATCACCGATATACAGATGATACATCTCGTATCATTATATAAATCATAAGATATGTTTGTTAAAAAAGTTAATAATTTAAAAATAAAAATTTTCAGCATTTATATATCACACGTAATGTATCATCTCAGTCAAAAAAATTTTTCTGTCTCGTGAGGGCATAAGTATAATTTCACACGAGTTCAAAATGGCAAATTAATGGGTTTGTTTTGGCAGGGGGGAAGTCGCTGGGAGTGTCGAAGCCGAAACGGCACGACACGTTGGAGAGCACGTGGAGGACGATAACGGACGGGCGGTCGATGCCGTTGACGAGACACCTGAAGAAGTCGGACACGTGGGAGACGCACGTGAGGAGGAATGACGAGAACACGCCGCCTCCGAAGTCGAAGGTGAACAAGTCGGAGACGTTCCAGGAGCGGAGCAGCGGGAACTCGCCGTCGCTGGCTCGTTCGTCGGGGTCAGGGCGGCTGAGGAAGGAGCCGTCGTTGAGTCAGGACGAGTTGAACCGTCGAGTGGAGGCGTTCATAAAAAAGTTTAACGAGGAAATGAGGCTGCAGAGGCAGGAGTCGTTGAATCAGTACCAGGAGATGGTAAGCCGTGGGGCCCAGCCCCCATTGTCTCACTAGTTTATTTTTTTATTTTTTATTTTTTGTTTATATATTTATCCATTTTTTGTTTGGGTAAAGTGATAGGTGCTGATGAAAATACAGAGTTAATTTGTTGGGTAAAAATTGCGTTTAGGGTACTTTTATAATTACAGTTGGGTTTTGAAAATTGCAATCAACTCCAACGGCTAGTTTTAATGTCAGAAGGATTCTCTCCGGATCCTCAAATTGTGGTTTTAATGTCATTGTATATCGTGCGGTCAGTTTTCATTAGGTACTATTTATATTTAATTTAAAATAATTTTTAGACCGTATGATTTGGGAATTCCATAATCCTCACAAAGATGATCCGGAGAGAATCCTCGTTCGTTTTAATGATGTCCGAAAACTGTGGCCGGTGCATGGGAACTCAGACATGCAATAAGAGGTAGAGAAGGATGCTTGGACATGAATCTGTTCAGAAAGAAAAATATTAAAAATATGATTTTGATTTATTGGATGAAATTGATTTGATGGTTGATGAAATGTTGATTATTGTTCTACCAAGTTGTTTTCTATCCCATGGTAGTTACGAGATCTCTAGTTTTTCATAATTTAAAAAATTTAAGGTGCGTTTGTTGTATCGAACTATTTCGGACTATACTAGTTTCAGAGACTAAGTTGGACTGGCTTGACTTGGACTAAGCAGGATAATAATAGTAAAGTGTTTTGTATAGTGCTGGACTAATTCATGGACTAAAATTATTTTAGAGCCCAAAATATTTTTTTTATCATCTTTAATTTACTTTTACTTTAAAAAACCAAAGACAGTCAAATATTATACTATAAAATATTTTTTTTAATTTACTTTCCTTTCCCTTATCTTCATTGTTTCTATCAAACTCTGCATCTAACCCCTATCTCTCTGCTACTCTCTTTTCTCCCAATTAGTCAAATCTCCCTCCTTTTTACCCTTCCACTTCTTGCCTTCTCAACAGATTTGGGGTTTTTGCAATTCCCAAACTCCCCCCTTCTTCATGTTTTGGCTAAATCATGTGTTAAGACATCGCGTTGTTCGTCGTCTAATCTTCAAATAGCTTTTGGGGAGCAGTGAAATCGCCCTGCAGCAAGGCCCGACGAGCTAATCGGAGGCGAGTGGGGGATTGTGGAGTCAATGGAGTGAGAGACGAAGGTGACTTGGGGTTGGAACGCTTGGTTTTCTCGAGACGCTGCAAAACCCAGAAACGGTCTTAGTAGTCCGACGCTTTTTGTGGTCTCTCGCTAAGACCCCCTAGTGAGCTCTTTAGTCCATGCGAGTCCCACCTAATCTCATTAAAGTTAGTCCCTTCTGTTAACAAACACTGGACTACACTAACTCTTAGTCTAGTCCAGTCCAATGAAACTTAGTGAGGGCAAACAAACACACCCTTATAGTCCAGTCCAAACAAACACTAAGCGTGAAACAAGATCACTTATCTGGCACTACACCATTTTGTATGTGCCAAGCCAATCTATCTTAGTTTCTGAAGCTAATTCAATCTTACTTTTTAGATTATTTATTAACCAAAATACTTTTGAGTTTTTCATTTATTAGCCGAGGCATTTCAAATGCAAGTTCGACTCCACAATCCCAGGCAAAAGAGATGATGAGATCATGTTAATATCATAACTGCAAAGCCGGTGGGTGAGGCGTGACCAAAAAGCTTGGCAAATGTATCTGCTTCTGGATAAGCACTTGAGAAAAAAGTACACCTCCGAGTACTTGTGGTGGCTAATCTGTAGAGTGCTTTTTATAACCATTTAAAAGGTTGAAATTTTGTTTAGGCTGCCTACAAAATCTTCCATTTCAGACTGCAAGAGATCAGTTGCCATCCTCTTGGACCACGTTGTTTCTGATTAATGAAGTCATTTTCCCGATCCCTAATATGAAGGTTATCGGAGAAAATATGTTTATCTCGTACCTGAACAATTTCGGTATCGTTTTTACTCTCCTTTGTGTCAATGGTAAAAGAAAATGGCTACCATCGGCCATTGCAATAGAATGAGTCGACAAGCTTGCAGCGTACGGAACCATTATCCATTTTTAGAAGGAAAACAAAAATTCATACGACTTTCGGAGTTCCCGGGCAACCCTTTCCCTTGCACGACAGGTTTTAGGGTAAGTTCCACCCACGAGCTCTTAGCAATTGCTAAGAATCTCTACCTAATGGCCAACATCCAGAACCTAACCGTAATGCCACTGAAGATAACAACAAAAAGTTAGTTAAACCAATGAGACTTTGGTTCGGTCGATTGTGACCAAAACACAAAAACCTGGTTTGGTCAAATATGATGTTACATGCTGATTCTTTTCACTCTTGCCATCTTATGCAATTGAGTAGTTTACATTTACACATACCTAGATCTATTAAATCCTGTACAAGTGAAACTGCGAGCAGACAGAATTCAAAGAAGAACGTAATGCTGCCATTCTGGAAGTGTTTCGACGTTTATTTCATTAAGAAAATCTCTACATTGCCATTGTAACTGGGAAAAGCCTATCCAAGAAAGTATATACACCCCCTCCTAACAAAAGTGCACCGCTGTTAAGACAACAAAATTCAAACATGTTAGTGAAAGCCGTGCAGCGACCTCTCAGGTAGTTGAGAAATGAGAAAATAGCTCATACGATGTCCTAGTTGCCTTGCGATGGCCAGAGAATCACCAAGTGCTCATTAGGAAGGGCATTGATGATAGACAAAGTTGTAAAATATGTATGTCTAATTGTCTATCACCAGAATAGTCAATAACCGATGATGGGGGTGAATGCTTTTCTATTACACGGGGAACTGAAATGTACTAACAAGTTTCGAAGAATTAAAAAGCGGAAACTAAGGTATTGAGAACTTACCTGATTGGATTGATCCATGCTGAAAATTTGCGAAATGAAAGCAGGCTCTGCATATACAAGGGTTTTGCTCAGGAAAAAGAAAACAAAACTTTGAAGCGGAATGTGATAGTCATTCACTCTAAGTAATCAAGAATTTGAAACAAAATATTGAATGCACTGGTTCGCACAGAAACAACTACGATATAAAGTTGCCAGCATTGCTAGGCAGATTTTCAACAAGTCATGAAATATTTAATATGAGGCCAGTCACCAGAGGGCAGATGAACAGAACAACAAAGAAATACGGTGGAAGCTTTCAGTCCCGGTTCTTTTCTGCAGAACTTACAACTAATCCAAAAATTGGCAGGCCACACGACCTGCAGTGCTCCAGCAAAAGAAGCAGCAAGAAGTAGAGGAGCAACATAACCACTTGTGTACGTCAAAAGTAAGCTGCCTCCTATAACGGGGTTCTGCAATAAAGTTTGCCAACTTCAATTAATAACATTTACAATGTAAACAAACTACAGAAAGGGAAAACTTGAGCTGGCAAAGAGTACTGAGAGCAAGTTAACAAAACAAAAAAGTACTGAAAGCATCAACTTTTGATAAATGACTCCCAACGCTCCGATATGCTCTCTGTTATTATTATTTTTTTTGCCAACTGTTTTGAATTTGCATGCTGTAAGATGATATCAGGATGAATAAGAACTATAAATATACATATACATATACATACATATATATATATGAAATATTGGAGATGATTGATTGAGACCAATAAGCAACACTGAAGGAATGTAGAATGACCTCCTACATCATCTGCCTAACTGCAACTGATCTGCACTAAAATAAAATACTGGTTTTTGCTCCAAAAATGTGGTCATCCCTAACCTCCGGTTAGCAAAGGGTTCTCAAGGGAGTTTAACAACTGGTCCAAGAGCATCAGTCGTGTCTCTCAAGCATTAGCGGAGAACTTGTACTAAATATCTAAGGATTGCTCTGCATCTATCCATCTCCTATCAAGAGTAAAAGATTCCAACCATGCCAGGCTATTAGAGAGTTCACAAAGGTAAAAATACTGCTTTTGATATCAGTAATCTGAAGAAAACTGAGAGCTCAAAGGAAATGTCAAACATTTGAGTTTACCTTAGATGTAGCAACATATCCAAGTAGAGTGGCCAGCACTGGCGTACTGCACGGTGAGGCAGCTAAAGCAAATGTAAGCCCAGCTAGATATGCTTGCACGCCTAATACGTCTAAGTTGAAACTTGTAAGATCATTTGGACAACCAGCTTTATCTAAACCACAAAATTCTAAAAGTTTATGGTGGGTAATTACTTGAAGGGAAATTAGCAGCAGCAGCAGCCCGGGGATCAAAATTGCTAAAAAATGAGGGGAGCTGTAGTTCAATTACCTGTAACGTCACTGTAACGTCAACCCATAAGATGATGGCATAGAATAAGGGTTAGCAGAAAATCAGAAAGACCTGGTCAATCAAAGTGATAGATAATATCCAATACACATTCTAGGCGAAATAGAACAACGTTGGCACATGAATGAATACCTCAAGCAGATTCAAGCCAATAATACTAGCTAAACCTGAAGCGGTCAAAGGTAACCCCCGCCCTGTTTGTCCATATGCCTTTCCAGCGAATGACGCTCGCTCCTATGCCTAAGAGTGCAAGTGTAGTTGCCAATCCTAATGAGAACGCAATTGAATTCCCAAGAACCTGACCAAAAAGGAACATTAACATCAGGCTATTGTTAGAAATGTGTTCGTGTGTGTGTCAATCTGTCAGATGGAGAGAGAGAGAGAGAGAGAGAGAGAGTAACAAAGGAAATCAAAAGTAGCAAGTTATCACCTCTGCCTTGATTTTCCCTGAACCAAATGCTCCTGCATGATTCCAATAAATTCATATCAGCATTACACATGATACATGCAAAAGAGTAACTGTCCATCTCCACGCAAAGACAACCCCTTTCCCCTCATTTGTCTCCATATCCATGAGATAAAATATACGCTTACCTATGTAACCTAGGGTCAGCGGTAGAACACTTAGAGTACAAGGAGAAAGGCTGGTCACAAGCCCAGCCCCAAAAATAACTGCCAAACTGTAAAGACGAACAAGCAACGAGAAACAGTGCATATTCCAAGACACTGAATCATCAAAAATACAAATGTGAATGAAGACGTGAATGTGGGACTGAACCTAGAGAAACTGAGGGATGATGGCTGGTCTTGAACAGCTTCATTAGCGTCCTGTCCCGAAGAAAATGGAAATCCTCCAAACCATTCTCCAGGGTCTCCATTCGCTAACGTATACATTGAAACAGCACCTTCGGAAAAGATTCTAATTCCAGAGAATATATATGATAGGTAAAATTGGGAATTTTTTATACAGATTTTAATAATAGCTTGACC